AAAACAACAGTTTGTGAAAATTAAAAGAAAATTAGTTATACTTTGAGATGAATGAAAATACAACATACCAAAATTTAGGGAATACCTAATAAGTAGAGCTCAGGGGACATTTTATAGCTGTTAACACTCACATTAACAAGAAAATATGCATGGAGCTCACCTCACAGTCATGCCACAACACAGTCAAGCTGGACCCGAGAGCAGGGCTGCTTTGGCAAGCTCTCGGGTCCAGTCTAGCTTGTTGTGACATGACCGTAGGTGAGCTCCATGGAAAATGGCATTACAATTGGTATTGTGTTCTGTACACAATGAGTGCTCAATAAGTGCTGTTCACTTCTACATAAAAAATTCCAAACAATAACCTAATATTCCACCTTAAGAAAGCAGAAGAGAAGAGCAAACTAATCTGAAAGCAAGAACATGACAGAAAATAATAAAGAAAAAAGTAGAGATTAACAAAATAGAGACCAAAAAAACAATAAAGAAAAATCAACAAAACCGGAAGTTGGTTCTTTAAATTTTTTAAAAATTTATTGATTTGAGAGAAAAAGCAAGAAAGAGAGAAACATCAATTTTTGTCATTCCTCTTGGTTACTTCTTTTTCTTTAAATCCTTACCTGAGGATTTTTTTTCCATTGAGTTTTTTAGAGAGCGTGGAGGGGAAGAAGAAAGGGGGTTAAGAGAGAGAGAGAGAGAGAAACATGGATGTGAGAGACACATCGATTAGTTGCCTCTTGCACATGACCCCGCTGGGGCTGAGGATCGAGCCTGCAACCATGGTATGTACTCTTCATCGGGAATTGAACCCAAGATCCTTTGGTCTGAGGGCCAAAGCTCTAACCACTTAGCGGCCCAGCCAGGATTTGGTTGCTTCTTGTGTGTGCCCTGACCTGTGATCAAACCCACAAACTTGGTGTACTGGGATGACACTCTAACCAACCAAGCTACCAGCCAGGGCTCAGAAGTTGGTTCTTTAAAAAGAGCAACAACATTGATAAACCTTTACCTAGACAATGAAAAAAAAAAAGGTGCAATTAACTAATATTATAAATTAAAATGGGGACCTTACTACCAACTTTACAGACACAAAAGGATTATAAAAGAAAAACTATGAGCAAGTGTACACCAACAAATTAGATCATTTAGATGAAAAAAGAAGTTCCTAAAAATACACAATATTACCAAAACTGACTCAAGAAACACAAAACCTGAACATACCCATAAAAAGTAAAGAGAGCAAATCAATAATGAAAATCTCAAAAAAAAGGAAATTCTACCAATCATTTAAGTAAGAATTAACATCAATCCTTCTTAAACTCTTTCAAAAAACAGATGAGGAAAGAACAGTTTCTAACTCATTCTGAGGCCAGCATTACCTTGATACTAAATTCTGACAAAGACATCATTAAAAAAAAAAATCTACACAGCAGTATCAGTTATGAACACAGATGTAAAAATTCTCAGCAAAATAATCCCAAGAGCATAGTAAAAGGATTATACATTATGACTAAAGTGGGATTTGATCCCAGGAATGCAAGTGTTCAATGTACAAAATGAATCAATTTAATATATCACATTGATTCAAGGAAAGCCAAACATGATCACTTCAATTGATGCAGAAATGCATTTAACAGAATCCAACATCTTTTCATAATAAAAGCACTTAAACTTGGAGTAAAAGGTATGTGGTAAAAAATTAATCTTAATGTAAAGAGAGGTCTGGCTTTGGCCCTCAGTTATAGGTAACCTCTAGACCCCTGAATGTCCTGACTGATAGCAGTGTCTTTGTTTGCCCGGGGTTTTGGCCACAGGAAGTCTAACAATGTGAGACTAAAGGTATTAGTGTAAACCTTAGGAAGGGTTGGAGACTAAAGGTCAGCCACCAGGAAGGCAGTATGTGATTGAGCAGCAAGGAAAACTCTGGATACCAAAGACTTGAGTGAGCTTTCCTAGCTAGCAAATACTCTGTACTTTTAAACTTTGAGGAGAGAATGACTGGCTGAAATCTCCATGTTTGGACCTCTCTCAGATTATGCCCAATGCATCACCTCCTTTGATTGGTTCAAAGTTGTATTCTTTTACTATAACAACACTGTAATCATAAGTACAGTGCTGTTTGGAGCTGAGTCACTCTAGTGAATTATTAAAACAGAGTAGTTTTGGGGACCCCAAGTTTGTAGCCAGCTGACCTGAAGTGAAGGTAGTCTTGTGGATCTGTACTCTCTGACCATACAATTTGCATATAATTCCCATGCAAAATGGAACTTCTTCAAAGAGATCAAGGGCATTTATGAAGACCCCACAGCTAATATCATACTCCTAAGATCAAGAACAGGGCACAGATTCCCACTTTTGCCACTTCCATTCAACATTTTGCTGGAAGCGTTAGCCAGAGCAACTAGGCAAAAAACAACAACAACAAAACAAACAAAAAAACCCCAACAACAAACAAACAAACAACAAAACACAACAAAAAACCCAACCAAAACAAATCGGAAAGAAAGAAGTCAAACAATTGTGCAAATGAGATGATCTTACAAATAGAAAATTGTAAAAAAAAAAAAAAATCTCCACTATATTTGAATGAATTAAGCAAAGCTACATCAATACACAAAGACCAGCTGTGTTTCTATACACTAGCAATGAACAAATTAAAAACTAAGAAAATAATTTCATTTATACTAGCTTCCAAAATAAAAAATACCTAGAGAAAAATTTCACTAATGAGGTGAAAGACTTGCACACGGAAAACTGTAAAACACTGCTGAGATTTAAGAAGAACTATGTTACAGACCAGTGATGGCGAACCTTTTGAGCTCGGCGTGTCAGCATTTTGAAAAACCCTAACTTAACTCTGGTGCCATGTCACATATAGAAATTTTTTGATATCTGCAACCATAGTAAAACAAAGACTTATATTTTTGATATTTATTTTATATATTTAAATGCCATTTAACAAAGAAAAATCAACCAAAAAAATGAGTTCGTGTGTCACCCCTGACACGCGTCATAGGTTCGCCATCACTGTTATAGACTGAACTGTGTCTCCCCAACCCCAAATTCACATGTGGAAGCCCTAACCCCTGTGTGGCTGTATCTGGATATAGGTCCCGTATGAAGGTAATTAAGTTTTTAAATGAGGTCATAAAGATGGGGCTCTAATCCAAAATAACTGGTGTCTTTGTAAAAAATACCAGAGCTTGTGCACATGCCCCCCAACACCCCCTCTTTGGCACAAGCCAGGAAGAGAGGTATCACCAAAAACTGAATTTGCTAGTCATGCATGGACTTCTAGCCTCCAAAACTGTGAGAAAACAAATTTCTGTTGTTTAAGCCATACAGTCTATAGTATTTTGTTATGGAGCCCAACTAAGACTAATATAATCTAAGTAAATGGAAAGACACCCTGTGTTCATGAACTGGAATATTAAATATAGTTAAGATGGCAAAACTACCCAATCTTTAGATTCAATGAAATCCTTATAAAAATTCCAATAGCCTTTCCTGCAGAAATGGAAAAGCTGATACTCAAATTCATACAAAATTACAAGGGGTTCTGAATAGTCAAAATGATGTTGAAAAAAAAAAAGAATAAAGTTAAAGGATTCCCACTTTCCCATTTTAAAACTTACAGCAATCAAAATAATGTGGTACTGGTATAAGGACAGAGATACACAGATCAATGGAAGAGCACTAAGAGTCCAGATAAAACAATATATGGTCAATTTTCAACAAGGAGGCCAAGACCATTCAACTGGGAAACAATAATCCCTTAAATCAAGTGCTGGAACAACTGGATTTCCACAAGCATATTATACATTTAATATATAAAAATCAACTCAAAATGGGTCAAAGACCTAAACATAAGAGTTAAAACTATACAACTCTGAGAAGAAAACCTAAGTGTAAATCTTAATGATTTTGCATTTGACAATGGATTCCTATATATGACACCAAAAGAACACACAACCAAAGACAAAATAAACTGAATTTCATGAAAATTAAAAACTTTTGCCAAAGGATATCAAGAAAGTGAAAAGACAACATATAAAATGGGAGAAAATATTTCTAAATCACATATCTGATAAGGGTCCAGTATCTGAAATATATAAGGAACACCTACAACTCAATAATAAAAAGCAAAACAACCTAATTAAAAAATGGGCCAAGGACTTGACTAGAAATTCCTCCCACAAAGGTATGCACATGGCCAACAAGCACATATAAAGATGCTCAACATCATTAGTCATTAGGGAAATGCAAATAAAAACCACAATAAAATACCAGTTCATATGCACTAGGAGGGTTAGAATAAAAAAGTCAGTAAACATTGGCAAAGATTTAAAGAAATTGGATTCTCAGTCATAAATTGTTACTAGGAATGTAAAATGGTGTAGCCACTATGGAATACAGTTTGGTGGTTCCTTAGAAAGTTAAATATAGGTTTACCATATGACTCAGCAATTCCACTCCTAGGTAGAATTGAAAGAATTGAAAACAAGAACTCAAATAAATACTTGTACATGAATGTCCATAGCAGTGTTATCCACAAAGCTAAAACTTAGAAATAACCCAAATGTTTATCCATGAACAAAGTGTGGTAAATACATAAAACAGAATATTAGTCATAAAAAAGAATGAACTATTGATACATGCTACAACATGGATAAACTTGAAAACATTATGCTAAGTCAAAGAAGCTGGACACAAAGGTCACATAATTGTACAATTCCAAGTATATAAAATCCAGAAGAGGTAAGTGTATAGACACAGAAAGCAGACTGGTATGATGCCTGGGGGCTGGGAAAGAGGGAATGAGGAGTGACTACTTCATGGGTATGAGGTTTTCTTTTGGAGCAATTGATATGGGTGGTGGCTTCACATTTTGTGAATGTACTAAATGTCACTGAATTGTACACTTTAAGATGATTACTCTTCTGTTATATGAATTTCACCTCAATGGATAAAAATAGATTATGATGATAGTAGTTTCTACTAACCCGATGAATAATTCCAGCAGAGTGAAGGTGCTTGATTCCACACAGCATCTGATAGAGAAGGTAGGACATTCTTTCATGATCCAGTTCCATCTGAATCACTTGGCAAAGATTTGCATCCATGAGCTCCATGACTATGTAACTTCATGGGTGAAAAAAGATGACAGCTAAAGTGTACAGCAACAATCTAACAATTAGGCACTAACATCAAATTTTAATTATCACACTTACACATCTTGAAATTCTTCTAGTGATTTCTGTGGTGTGAAAACATTCAAAAGGCCAATTATCTGCAGCAAAAGCAAAGAGATTAAAAAATTAGAAATTGCTACATGAGTTAAAAAAATCCACAGTTTAAAATTTTCTAAATCTTATTTTCTAAGCTCAAGTAATCTCTTTTCTTTTGTGTAATTAAAACTTTATGGCCAGGGGCTGGGGATAGAGAGGGAGCCAGAACACAGAGGAGCTTCAGGGCAGTGAAAATACTGTGTGATACAATAAAGGTGGACACATGTCATTATACATCTGTCCAAACCCACAGAATGTGTAACACCAAGAGTGAACCCCAATGTAAGCTACGGGCTTTTTTTGGGTGATATGGATGTGTCAGTGTAGGTTCACTGCTTGTAACAACTGTACCACTCTGGTGGCGATGCTGATAATGGGGGAGGCTGCGGGGGGGGGGGGGGCAGGAGCTATATGGAAAATTTTTGTACCTTCCACTCAATTTTGCTATGAGCTGAAAACTTTCTTGAAAAAACAAGTCTTTAAAAAATTATAACAGAAGACCTCCACATAATGCATTCCAAAATGAACACTATGCTATACAATCCTCAACATGATTTGAAGGCAAATCTGAAATCTCTTATGCTCGTTTATAGCCAACTCAGAACCTCTATATAATCTCAGCCTTTGCCCCCAGTTTTTCAGAATTCTGCACCTTCCCAGCTACACTCAGTCCCAGCATATTTCACTGGCCTGTCCACCGGCAGGCCTCTTTCCCACTGTTCTTCTATCGGCCTCTTTTCTCTATCTGTACCTTTCCCAGAGTGTCATTACCTATGGTATTTTCTCCAAACATCTCTATGTGGGTAATTTCCAAATATGAACTAAGAGTCCTTGCTTAGCTCACGAGTCTCAGATATACATTGCAACTTCACAAGGAAGTCTCACAAATAATATAACATTGAACTCGTTATTTGTACTCGAACTCCGTACTTTTCCAGAGTGCCTTCTCTTTTACAATAGAAGACTCAGAGTGATTTTGTTTTACTCGTTTTTCAATATTTGCACTGTAATAAATACTTTAAACAATGTTATCCATTGCATTGTCAGTCTGAACTTCAGCCTCTTCTTTTCATTCTTTGTGCTACTACACAGGCCGAGGACTCTAATATCCTAATTCATATAATGACTAACACGAGGTTCCCTAACTTGATACTTTGGCCATACTAAAGTAACCATTTTAAAAACTTTAAATGCCTTTAAACATACTGCTTCATATGCTTGTCATTTACCTACTGAACTTTGTTACCTTCAAGATAGACCTCTTTTTGTAGAGTCTGACAACCCCTTGTCCTTGAGAGAGCTGGATTTTCTCTCTACTTTGTCCCCATAGTGTCCTACATGTTATTATGGCACTTAACACACTGTTGTGTAGTCTTATTTTCACAACAGCCTTGTCCCAGCCACACCAGGATCCTTGTTAGGAAGAGCTGAGCCTTATTCCCTTTATAGGCCTGGCACAGAGAAAGACACCTGGCATACATTTTAAAAATGTTTGCTGACAATTATACTTAGGGGCAAGAATGTTCTTCTAGGCATAAACTTATTATTATTAGGGCAGAATCTATGTTATTCATCTAAGCATAAAGCTTTGCTTAATGAAGGCGTTAAAATATTTGTTCAGTAAATAAATTCAGAAAATTTTCAAACCAGAAAGGGTAAAACATATTTATGATAGGGGGAGGTGCTGATAGGAAACATTTAGCTGCTCTAAATGAACTCAAGGCTCCTAACCAGTTGAACTGCACACTTGGAGACTTGGACAAATACTAACACTGTTCTTACTAAGATCTGGGAAATTCTAGAGTGGACGAGAGGTGTTAAAGATGAAAGGACTACAGAGACAGAAAGGGGACCAGTGTTTGTTCAGAGCCGAGGGGGTGGAAATGGGGAAATGAGAGCCATAGGACATACGGTTTCTTTTTGAGGGAAGGAAAAGTCACACACATCAGTGAGCAAACTAAAAACCACTGACTTACTCAGATTAAATGGATGAGTAGTATGCTGTATAAACTGTATCTCAGTAAAGATGTTACAAAAAAGGACTGAAACAGTTGTCTGATTTTTCAAAAGGGAGATTATATCAATCATAAACTAGACAGCCAAACAAAGTCAAGGACTGATGGAGTGTGTGGCATATGACTACTGTGAGAGAAGGAACTGGAGCAGGAGCAGGTGAAATTCATTGAGAAACTTTATCTTCTTTTGTGAATAAAAACACAGTAACAAAGGACAACAGTAGTAAATCAGAGAAATGCATCTTGATATATTATATGAAGATTTTAAAAAAGGCATTTAAAAAAAATGTCCCCAATAATAATCCCCATGTAAATAAGATGAAGAATTGGGGAGAGCTAGGTGATTTTTAGTTAGACATGTAATTTTCTCAGCAGACCCAAGGCTGCTAATGAACTAACCAGGGACCAGGAAGCCCTCCTGAGCAGAATGGGGACACGAAGCCAAGTAAAAGTCCGAACAAAGCAAGCCAGCCCGCAGTCCAGGCAGAGCCAGATTTCACAGGGGAAATTTAATAGGGACAAACAGAAACTACTAGACTTATTCTCCAAAAAAAAAACAACAAAAAACACAAAAAAAAGGGAAAGTAAAAAACAGGAGATGTGATGTGTTAGCAGGCCTGTAATAAAGAGTAACTTGTTAGCCAATGTAAGTTACGTGGTGAGTGGCTTCCGCACAGGGGGGTATGATGTCCACAGTGAAGAGAAAATGACATGCCCATTCCTCTTGGAGGGTGCACCCAGGCATGCAGTGCTGTGCTCTAGGTTAAAGTGTGTTCAAAGATAAGTGAAAAAGAAACTCAAAACCATCTATGAAAAGAGTGGGAAATGCATAATCACATGAATGTAGTTAATACCACTTAAAAATGGGTAAGATGCTAGGTTTCATGTTATATGTACTTTACCACACTAAAAACAAAACAAACAAAAAAAACTAAAGAAGTGACTGGGGAAAGCCAGAGAGGTTGAGACCAATAAAGAGATGATTTGTGCAGAACATGAAAATGTTGAAAAGGCCAAACATCCACCCATTACAGAGTAAAAAAAATTCCATTACCATTCCTGTTTCCTTTTATTTACTTTTTTTAAATCCTCACCTGGGGATATGTTTTTACTGCTTTTTTTTTTTCTTTAGAGAGAGAGGAAGGGAAGAGAGAGAAACATCTATGTGAGAAAGAAATATCGATTAGTTGCCTCCCATTCGTGCCCTGACTGGGAATTGAACCTGCGACCTTGCAGTGTACGGGACAACACTCTAACCTAACGACCTGGCCAGGACTCCTTGTCTTTACTTAACATTTGTTCACTGAACAAATACGTTTAGCACCTCCTCTGTGGCAGCACTGTTCTAGGTGGCAAGGTTACTGCATGGATGGATCTGCGCTACCCCCACTACAGGATTAACCATGTGCAACCAACTTTGCATGTCATTCCTTTAGTTGACGGAGCCATCTTTCTGTGCAGTTGCCAGGCTCAAGGGAAGGAGAAGCCGGCCATCTCCTCAATACAAAACTAAGGCAATGACACCACCTCCGTCAGGAAACAGGCTACCAGGGGCACAAGCAGCTCTGAGTGGGGGAGGCCACCAGCAACATGCCTGGCTCCCACCTAGAACAAGACTGGCTGACACAACTTCCCTATCACTGACCTTAATCTTCATCTCTGTGTCTTTTCTTAAATGCTAATTTTCCTCTCTGGGAGGTCCACTTCCTCCAACAATCCAATTTTTACCCATTATTTAAGAACTAGAGGCCTGGAGCATGAAATTCGTGCACGGGTAGGGTCCCTAGGCCTGGCCAGCGATCAGGACCGATCGGGGCCTTCTGGCTGCTGGCCAGGGCCTTCCTTCATTCTGCACCGTCCCCTGGTGGTCAGCACATGTCATAGCGAGCAATCGGTCTCCCAATCGAACTCCCGCAGGGACAATTTGCATATTAGGCTTTTATATATATAGATTATCTAGGTCCACTCTTCCCAAAGCCTTTCCATTTCCTTAAGGCTCAGCAATTTCCTCTCCTGAAATCTCAGCATTTGTTTATTTTTCATCCACATGATTTCACAATTAAACTTCTATTAAACTTTGACAGTTAAAATTTATTGTTAGGTCTTTAACTCCTCATGCATTTGTTTTGTCTTCAAATTAACACTGTAAACCCCCAAATAAGGAGCCTAAATTTTTAACTTCCATGAAACTTCCCCTTGGTGACACAGAGGCTTGCACACAGTTAACTCTTAAAATGGAGTAAACTGTGTTGTCTGCAACCAGAATGTGCTGAGCTGACTACATTTTATAAGCTCCTTCGGAGAAACACCACAAAACATCTCCGGTCAGGTACTTTAGGTTTAGTCATTCATAAAAATGTTCCTTGCACAATTCAATCCCAGTTTATTTCCTCTCAACATGGAGACATCACTCTATTAAAATAATTATAAAATATCAGTATGCTTAATGTAAGCTTTAAAAAGTGTAACTATTTGTTCTCAACATGAGTGAAAGTTGTATGTTTAAGTCCTTATAATCATTAGGAAATAGAATCGGAATGTCTTTCTGTTCACTGTCTAACCTCACCATGAGGTGACCAGTGAGAATGGCATCACCTACAGAGAAGACAGTGGATGGGGAAATGGTCTGAGGCTACACCCAGTGTCAGTAAACAAAGCTCCAGTGTCCATGTGCAACAGAACGTTTCCTGACCTGGCAGCTGACAGAAACTAAAGCGAAGAGGAGATGAAGCCTAAATAGAGTCCTTCGAAAACACCTGCCTCTTTCAAAGTCCTTTTGCTCATGTCAGAAAAGTACACAATCTGAATTTCAGAAGCTGTTTTCCTTTTAATATAGTGAAGTTGAGAAAAAATTCACACTATAGATATATACACCTTCTATTTCTTTAAATATATTTATCATTTTATTTATTTATCTTTTATTGATTTTAGAGCTAGAGAGGGAGAAAGAGAAACATCGATAGGCTGCCTCTCCTAACATGCGGCTGACCAGGTATTGAACCTGCAACCTGGGTATGTGCCCTGATTGGGATGACGCTCCAACCAACTGAGCCACACTGGCCAGAGTGAAATATAGACCTTTTAAACAATGCTTCAATCCAGAAGAACAATTCAAAACATCTACTATTTTTAAAGTTTTTGATATTCATACATTCATGAACAAATCTTTATTTCATCTACACTTAAGAAACTTTCTAAAATGTCCACTTACATTTTTGTGATTAACACATTTCATAAGAACCAGCTCTCTGTAAGCCCGCTTAGCATGGGTTTGATTCTGAAATGGCCGGCTTAGCTTCTTGATTGCAACATTTCTTTCAAGAATGGCATCATAAGCTGCACTGTAATAGAAATTAAAAAACAAAAATGTAATAAAAAATCTGCAAAACTGATTTTCTAAAACACGCATTCAGATGCCTCATGTTCTCCAAAGATAAATGCAATTGGACCAGTTTCCAGTCTCTGATGGTCACCATGTTTCTTCCATTTATACTGCAGCACATTCCAAACAATGTACAGTACTAACTGCTTCTTACAATGCAAATGGACTCAAGAGACAACTGACTGTGACTGTGAAGACAGATTCTGCTTGTTCACTGGGCTCCTCCGAGATTCACCTATAATACAAATGGGCACTCAATGCACAAATGTTTACTAAGTGTTCAGGTTCAAAAGATAGCTTAAAGCCTAAATGAACACTCATCCTGCACCTCCACCAGGGAAAGAAAACAAAGAATACACATGGTCATAAATTCTACTCAAAAATATTTTCTGAAGAATTCTACATAAGTGTATCACTTCCATCCTCTTTGGGTACAAAATAAATACAGAAAGAGGAAGGGACATACAGAGGTATCTATACAAAAGATTATTATATGAAAAGTAAGCCTTAAAATTTGTTTTAGAGGGGGAATTAAAAATCAAGGTGTTATAATGATGAATTCCAGATTTCAGGCCATCAGAAGCTGCATCATAATTGTTAATGAACCACCTAAAATTCTGGGAAATAGAACATCATACTCATTACTCTTCATAACTTCCTCTCCCGTGACCAAATGGCATCTGACGCATATTACAGGTAAGAGAAACACAAGCACAAATAAAGGAACATATCTTAAAATTATAGAATATTATAATTAAAAGAAACTTTAAAGTCATTTGGATTTACCACTGCCTGCTATAAGGCCAGAGGTTTGCCCAAGTTAAGCCAGAGAGTTAAAAAGTTAAGATAAGACTAGCAGACTAAGACATGAAGTTATGTCCTTCACATTGGACCACCTAATAAACTAAAAAAGACTGTTTCTGCTTATGCGATATTTGAAAGTCAGCATACTCCCGATTACAATGGCTCTCACCTAACTGGAAACCTGAATTTGTTTTACAGCTCTCATACCATATCAAATATATTGCAGAAATATATGCATTAAAAATTGGTACTGCATAAAGAAACACATCTGTACATTCTATATATACTATAACTATTGATATATATATATATATATACACACACATATATATGTATATATGTATAGTAGGGCAAAAGTAGGCTTACAGTTGTTTGTAGGGAAAATAATCACAGTAATTAATAAATAATACAAGAGTAAACTCCATGTTTTGTGTACTCACAATTGTAAACCTACTTTTGCACCACCCTGTATATACATGCACATACCAAAATATACATAAGTATTACCGTCTTTACTTAAAAAGTGTCATATTTACAGATATATCCCTCCTAAATAAAAAAAAAAATTGAACATTAGAGGTCATGCAAAATTTTTAGAAATTTAGACTATTTCGGAAATGAAGTCTTCTGAGAAGGAGACAATGTCTTGTAAACCTAAATCAGACTGTAACACAGTTATAACGGTAGCTTCAGGCAGCACACCAACAGCTCACAAAGGAGAAAGAACACTCCCCAGGAGCAGAGTGAAGTAATTGGGAAACTGTTCATTCAAGGCTAACACTGCACTATATTTTGCCAAATTAAAGCCTCATTTGTTTGCACTCTTTCTCTTTCATCAGAAACACTGAACAGAGTTTATCTTTTCTAGTCCTCTTAGACTGCCTATTTAAAGAGAGGGAAAAAGCCAACTCTGTAGACACTTTCAGAGTTTGGTTTCATAATAAAAACTGTTTGAATAATTAGACCTTTACAATCCTGAAGATAAAATAAACATGTAATCTTTTATATTATTTTGCTCAAGAAAAAAAATTAACCAGTAAATTCATTCTTATCCATTTTTATCTGCTAAATCAAAATAATATTTCAAACTCTAAAGTTCAAAAATACCTGAGCAGGTTATACTATTTTATATCCAAGGAAATGAGACTTCTAATTGCTGCCGAGTAAATGTGCACAAATCAGAAACACCTGGGGTCCCAATCCAGACCCAACTGGGGCCCAAAATAATGCCTTTAAAAAAATTAAGTTCTTCAGTTGATTCTGATAGTAACACAACAGTGAGTTAAAATTTATTTAATATGTTTGTTTCATAGTAATCTTTTATTAAAGAAGCAAAAATTTGAAGATATTTATTGCTAGGATGGGGCTAAGTTGGCTTAAGGTCCCTTTGAAAGCAATTTTTTCAAAACAGTGGTCCACAAATTTCAAAATACACCCACCAAAGGATAAGTGAAGGTACATAAACATTACTGTATTTTCCAACAATATTAACTAATTTATAAAGAATACAACCCTCACAACTCTAATTTAATAAATTAGGAGAGAAAACGGGCTTAGAAGTATTAATTTGCCATGAGTCCCAAAGTTATTAAATCATAGAGCTAGATTCTGAACCAAGGGCTGCCTTTCAGCATACTTCCCATGTTGACTTTATCACACTATTTTCTTTATCTTTAATTTGTAGTTGGTTAAATGTAGCTGGTTAGAATGACAACCAGCCAGCCATAAATGCTTTATAAAATGACCCAACTTCTAGTTTTTGATATTATATATTACTTCAAGAATACAGAAGAGAATAAATGTTAGTGTTCCCATTACATAAACTTGTTAATTTTAATTTCTTCTATATATATAAAAGCCTAAGTGACCGTTTGACAATTCACTATGATGCACACTGACTACCAGGGGGCATATGCTCAACATAAAGGCCTTGGAAACATGGAACAGACTGATGAATCTCAGAGGGAAAGGGGGAGGGGGAGGGCAGGAAGAGATTAACCAAAGATCCTATATGCATACTAGAGGCCTGGTGCTTAGATTTGTGCACCGGTGCGGTCCTTCGGCCTGGCCTGCGGGGATCAGGCCTAAACCAGTTCTCCAACGTCCCTTGAGGGGTCCCAAATTGCAAGAGGGCACAGGCCAGGCCAAGGGAACCCATCGGTGCACAGGGCCCCTAGTCTACACTAATAAAAGAGAAACATGGTAATTAGCATACGACCACTACCCTTCCCATTGGCTAATCAGCATATCCTTATGCAAATTAACTGTCAGCCAAGACGGCGGCTGGCAGCCATGCACTGAAGCGAACAGGGAGGCTTGCTTGCTCCAGTGACTGCGGACTCCAACGTTCCCTGCCTGAATTGCCGGCCTCTCAGCTGCAACTCTAAGCAACTATGGTGCAAATATAGAAGCTAAAAAAACCCCAGAAACCGGCTTTCAGTCAGCCGGACTTCAGCCAGCCGGACCGAAACATTGTATCAAATACAGAAGGTAAAGGCCAGAAACCTGCTTTCAGCAGCGAGGCCTCAGAGCTAAAGCTGGCCTAGTATAGAAAAAAAAAAAAAGAAAAAAAGGAGCAGTTGGGAGCTTCAGTCACCCGCCAGCCTGAAAACGGCCCTCAGCCCCTCACCCAGACTGGCCAGGCACCCCAGTGGGGACCCCCACCCTGATCCAGGACACCCTTCAGGGCAAACCAGCCGGCCCCCACCCATGCACCAGGCCTCTATTCTATATAGTAAAAGGGTAATATGCCTCCCGGCACCGGGATCAGTGGAGCAGCGAGGCTCCCGGCACCTGGATCAGCGTGACAGGGGGCAGCGCCCAAACCACCTGATTGCCCTGCAGCTCTGTGAGTGACAGGGGGCGGGGCCACAACCTCCCTATCTGCCCTGCTCTGTGTGTGACAGGGTGCGGCGCCCCAACCCCCCCCCCCCCCACGGGCCCTGCTCTGTGTGAGACAGGGTAGAGCCATAACCTCTCCATCGGCCCTGCCCTGAGTGTGACAGTGGCAGTGCCCCAACCCCCCTCCACGGGCCTTGCTCTGTGTGTGACAGGGTAGAGCCATAACCTCCCCATTGGCCCTGCCCTGAGTGTGACAGGGGGCGGTGCCCCAAACCCCCAATCGGCCCTACCCTGAGCGTGACTGAGGGTGGCATCGCAACCTCCCAATCCGCCCTGCTCTGTGCATGACGGGGCAGCGCCCCAACTCCCCAATCGGCCCTGCTCTGAGCCTGACCAGGGGCTGCACCTAGGGATTGGGCGTGCCCTCTGCCACCCGGGAGCAGGCCTAAGCCAGCAGGTCGTTATCTCCCGAGGGGTCCCAGACTGCGAGAGGGCACAGGCCGGGCTGGGGGACCCCCCCTCCCCCTCCCCCCCGAGTGCACAAATTTTTGTGCACCGGGCCTCTAGTCTTACTATAATTGCTCTGATTTAAAAAAAATGTTTTTTATTTATTTCATAGAGGAAGGGAGAGAGAAAGAGAAATAGAAACATCAGTGATCGGCTTCCTCCTGCATGCCTCCTACTGGGGATCGAGCCTGCAACCCCGGCATGTGCCCCAACAGGGAATCGAATTGGGAATCAAACTGTGACCTCCTGGTTCATAGGTTGATGCTCAACCACTGAGCCACACTGGCCAGGCTGATTTTTAAAAGAAATATATTGTTATAGGTAAAGCCCCCTTCTTTCTCTGTATTCTCAGTTAAGCACTATCCTGAGTTTGCTGTTTATGAATGTTTTCATACTTTTCTACATACGTATGCACAATAAACATATGGTACTGTTTGCCTATTTTAAACTATATAAAAACTATATATAATGTAAGTATGGTCTGTATCTTGCTTTTAAATTCAATACTAAACTTCTGGGATTGTCCTTATTGATGCATATAGCTCTAGTTCATTTGAAATGTACAGTATTTCACTGTATGAATATATCACGCTTTCCCATTCATCTGTTGATTGATGCTGTTTTATAAACGGTGCTGCAGAGAACAGCCCTATGCATTTCTCTTCACGTATACGGGCAGGAGTTTTTCTAGAACCGGGAGAATCGCAGGGTCATAAACACATGATTTTTTAATAGATTCTAAAACAAATCTGGTTCAAGAAGAGGTAATGAAGATATAACTGTGCTTGAGTGAGGCTTAGAAAATTTCCCCAAACACTAGTTCTGTGCTAACTTAGTGATCTAAAATCATGAGTAGGACTGCCTTAGTTTATAAGGAATGATGCTGATATATAAAGTCTAGGCCTTTTATAGAAATTACTTGTAAATTAAATTTTAAAAATACATAAGAGTTTTGAAACACAGTTAGATGATATAGCTGACTTCATTCCCCAGAGTAAAGTAAGATTTCTGAACTTCCAGTTTCATTATAGTGGGAAAGTGATGATTAAGTGAAGCTTCTTAATAAACAATTAACTCTGGGAATGGATGTACACATGGGATCAACCAGCACCCACTTATTCTCTCCTGATACAGATATTTGTCTCTACACGGTTTATAACCAAGCATTTAATCATAATTTATCCTTGAAGATGGAGGTGCTGATTTATGGTCGTGTTTTATGAATAATAAAAAAGAACATTAATCCCTGAACAAAACAACTACTGTCACAGCTTTAATTTAAATTATATAGTTTTAATTAAATTTTTTGAGGCAAATTAAACATTTACACCAAGGTATCTATATTACGAGAAGAGAAGTAACAGCAGTTAATGATTCTTTGCCTAATTTTTGGAAGTAAAAACTTACCATACTATTCCTTGAGCTCCTGAGCCTATAGGTTTTAAATTCTGATATCGTTTCAGGACTGTGAATGTAGAATCTCCAATCTCTACACTATAAAAATTGCTGTCACGCTTACTTCTGCTCATGATGGCAAGCAATTAATTTAATGGCTTCATCCAAAAATTCACCAAGAAGCTGCAAAACGGAACAAAATATATTGTTAACAAAATGAATTCATGCAATCTTAAAATTCAAGTTCTCACTCGTTCACTAAAGGTAACATTAACTTCTAGAGCATGTTAAAAGGGCTGCTTCTTTAAAGAAAAACATTTAGAAAGAAAAAAATATCACAGAGCCTGGTTAGCATCTGCTATACTTAAGGAAATAACTGATAATTGGGAAAAAAAACCCACAAAATTTTTACTAGAATAAACAGTATCTCCAATCTAGAAATCATTAGTATTAATATGCATACTAGTACATGTCTTAACTTACTGGAAAACTGGAAAAAGTAAGTAAATTATAAGTAGACATATTTTCAAGGCCACTTCCACAGTATACAATTTGAAAACAGTCCTTTTCTTTTTTATAAATATATCTTTATTGATTTCGGAGAGGAAGGGAGAGGGAAAGAGAGAGAGAAACATCAATGATGGGAGAGAATCATTGACTGCCTGCCTCCTGCACATCCTCTACTGGGAATCGAGCCCTCAACCCAGGCATGTGTTCTTGACCAGAATCAAACCTGGGACCCTTCAGTCCGCAGGCTGACGACGCGCTATCCACTGAGCCAAACCAGTTAGGGCTGAAACCAGTCCTTTTTATGTGTTTATTATAGAGTACTGAAACCTTAATTTTTGTGAGAAATTGAGAAACTTTCATTCGAAAATAATTCACAATCTCATTTAGTGTCACCCGGGAGGATGACAGATGCCCATGCTAGTAAGCTGGTTAGCACGTCTCACCCTGCCTAACACAGAGCAGCACAGCGCTGTCCCCACAAGAGCCTGTCCCCGCAACATCCGGTAGTGACACATGCAAAGTTGTAATGGTTGAAAGAATGGTTGAAAGAGGTAGAAAAATAAGAAGATATAAGATAATATTACTTTAAAAATGAGAAAATATGAGAGCGAGAGAAGCATCTAGTACAGCCGTGGGCTAACTACGGCCCGTTTGAAATGAATAAAACTAAAAAAAAGACCGTACCCTTTTATGTAATGATGTTTACTTTGAATTTATATTAGTTCACACAAACACTCCATCCATCCATGCTTTTGTTCCGGCCCTCCGGTCCAGTTTAAGAACCCATTGTGGCCCTCGAGTCAAAAAGTTTGCCCACCCCTGATAGGGCACAAAACAAAACAATACTGTTCTGAACCGTTTGGGGCATCAAAAGCATGACCTAAGTTCTGGCCACAGCTCTTCCTCTATACCTGATTAAAAGCCAAGGCAGTCCCTCTCTACCCATTTGAGTATTGGTTATTAATAAGCCTATTTTCCATCCTTACTGGATGAAAGTGGCCTAAAACAAAAGGCATGCAGTAAGTCAGCTCCAACCTATTTCCCACGTACCACAATAAACCAAGGAATCAGTTAGGTCTACAGAATCATTGTGTGTGTGTGTGGGGGGGGGGGGGTGTGAAGGGGGAGTTGTAAAACAATGCTAACAAAAGAAAAATAACGTCCTGATAAGACTTATAAGACAAAGAATTAATTCAACAAATATGAAGTGCCTACCATATGCTAGGCACTTAGCACTGTGCTGTGCCTACCATGTGGAGGCTCATGAATGAAATGGATTCTAACAGCTGAATGCTGAGAGAAGGGGGAAGCCGCTGGAAGGTGGGAGTAAGAGAGTTGGAAGAGGAAAACTAGTGATCTATTGCAATAATCCAGATGAAAGAGAATTTTGCAATTAGTGAGGATTCTTAGATGTGATGGAATTAAAAAAAACAACCACTAAACAAAAAAGTCCAAAAAACACAGGCGTTAAAAAAAAAAAGATAAATTGCAAGCAACTGAAGAGTTGGATAAATTATTTGGATAAATTAAAGAAAGACCCAGAGAAACATTTCCATAATCAATAACTAAACTAGTCATGTAATACTCGAGAGGACTGTCTGGAACGGCAACACTCATAAATTCTGCCTAAGCAGGCAGACCAGAGGCTTAAAGGAAAGAGTTGGTAATGATTTCAACATTCACTATGTTCACAGATGACCCAATATGGGTACTGGTCATCCAGACCAACTTCCACCTTAATTTGGATTCCCTCCTTACCTACCAGAAGGAAACCAGAAGGAAAATAGGGAGGAAGGCAGAAGAGAGAAGAGGAATGCAGGAAAGTGTTGAGTGTCAGGCCCTTCATCAAATATTCTCCATATTTATCCTGGAAACTGAGGCTGCCTTTGGCCCGGAGACAACTACAATGGTCTCCAGTGATCTACACATGAGCTCCAAGGCCGAGTCCAGAGCAGCTGATGATGTGTGAACCTCAAGTAGCCAGACTGTGTGCAGATCAGATTTTCTAAGCTCCATGGAAGACATGCCCCCTTCTCCTTAGGGAGAGAGGATCGGAGAGAAGGAGGTACTCTTGGTGCCTCACCAGTTTACTTACTGTTACCAGAGCAGGGAATAAAAAGGCTGTGTTTCAGATTCCAACTTGCTGGAAATCAAAGAGAAAGCATAGATCCAGGATCATATGCAGGACAGGTCTCCCTGTCTGTTAAGAGTAACAATAGCAAGGAGAGGCTTCTTTCTCAGAAGAGGGGTCTCAGAAAAGGGTGGTCCGACATCAGGAGTGGGGTCCATGGTGCTCACACAGAAGTCTGGACAGACCTGTGACAGCAGCTGAGCAGTGACAGCCACCAGACCCTCCAGGCACAGTGCAGCAGCAGATGGAGGACCAGGTTAGGGAGCAGCCTGCCCAGGAGCCATAGCTGCCACTCAGGACAGGAGACAGCACGTGACTCACTCAAGCCCAGGTGTAGAATGCTTACTGGGTGCCTGCGTCAAGCTCTGGGCTGGTACTGTGAACACAGCAGTAATCCGCATCTGCCTCCAGAGCGTGCAGTTAGACAAAGAGAGACATTCGGTTGTGTAGTAACTGTCTGGCTGAAACTATGGCGTGAAAACAGCAATGAAGGCAATGGAAGCAAGCCCACACTAGTCTGGTCTCAGGAAAAGATTCATCCCCTAATGAGGTAATGTTTGAGCAAGATCTGAACACTGAGTATGAGGTAACCAGGCAGGGAGAGAGAAGGGAGCTTTCTAGGCAGAAGAAAAAGCACATGCAGAGGCTCTAAAAATCCACCCACTTTCACAGTGCAATGGATGAGTTTTGATAAATGTGTACAACCCTGTAACCACCATCAAAATCATGACATAGAATATCTCTATTACTGCAAAAGCTTCCCTGTTGGTCAATCCCTGCCCTCTATTCCTAACCCATCCCTGGCAACCAATAAGTGGCTTAGCTGTGCCTTTTCCAGATCTTGATACAAGTGAACATCACACAGCATGATTTTTTGTCTGGATTCTCACTTGCCCAGATGTGTTTAAGAGACACCTATGCTGTGCTTCTTTGTATTACTGAGTGGCATTCCATTGTGAGGACATACCATTTGGACATATGGACTGTTTCCATACATACATATATATATGACACAGCTAATTAATTCTCTTGCCCATATTGTCTTCTTGTTGTTCAATTATAATATTTATATATTCTGGATATACACCCTTTATCAGATGTTTTGCAAGTATTTTCTTCCAGTCTATGTGGCCTACCTTTCCATTTTGTTAACAGTGTACTTTTTAAAACTTTTTAGTTGAAATAATTTTAGACTCATGTACAGGTTGCAAAAATAGTTCTGGGTATTCTTCACCCAATGACAACATTTGACATAACAATTGTACCATTATCAAAACGAGAAAGTCTGCACTGGTACAATACTATAAGCAAACTTTATTCAGATTTTATGCATACATTGATATTCTGTAAATTTATCACATACACATATTAATGGGAACTACATCTCAGCCAGGATACAGAACTCACCCCAAAGAGAGTCCTTCATGCTACCTCTCTCTATAATCATATACTGCTGCCAATTATGTTTTCATCACTATAATTTGTTTCAATTAAAATTTTATATAAACAGAATCACATAATATGTAATCTTTTGAGACTGCCTTTTTCATTCAGTATAATGCCATTGAGATTCTCCAGATTGGTGGAATATTGATAGTTTGTTCTTTTTCTTACAGAATATTTTTCTGTTGTATGAATGTAGCTTTGTTATTAATTCACCCTTTGTTTTGCCCATTACAAATAAAGCTATTTACTATGAACCTGCCTACAGATTTTTGTGTGAAAATAAGCTTTCATTTCTTTAGGGTAAATGTCCAGGAGAAGGATATGGCAGCTGCATGTTTAACATAAGAAACTGGCAAACTTTTCCTAAAGTGGCTGTTACAACTTTGCATTCCCACTGAAATGCATGAAAGATCTAGTTCCTCCACATCCTATCAACTCTTATTTAAGACAGTGTAGTTTATTTTAGCAATTCTAACAGGTTTTAGATAGACAGACAGACAGATAGATAGATAGATGGATTATATAACTATCTCATCAGGACTTTAGTTTTTTATTTCTCTAATGGATAATAACATTAAACATCTCCTTATGTACCTTTCCCAGCTGTATGTATATTTTTGGTGAAGTGTCTGTTCAAGTGTTTTGCCCATTTTCTAATTGGGTTGCTTGATTTCCTATTGTTAAGTGTAGAGAGCTTTTTTTTTTTTTTTTTAATGTTCTGGATATATTCCTTTATCAGACACACAATTTGCAAATAACATTTGGCCCCTAAACAACATGGGTAGAACTGTGCAGGTTCCCTTACATGTGGATTTATTTTCAATAAATACCTATATTGTTTTGGATCGGAGGTTACATGGTCCTGGATACCAAAACAAAGACGTTTTCGGGGAGTCAAAAGTTATATGCACCAGCCCTGGCCAGGTGGCTCAGTTGGTTGGAGCATTGTCCCGTACACCAAAAGGTTGCAGGTTAGAGTCCCGGTCAGGGAGTATACGGGCAAGGATTAAAAAAAGTTATATGCTCCCAACCTCCACGTTATTCAAGGTCAAATGTATTTTCTCCCTATTTGTGGTTTCTCTTTAAAAAATTTTTT